GTAATAAACAAATTTTAGTACTGTAATCTGTTTAGGGGAAGAGGCTTTAYCTCTCATATCTACACAGTGCCAAATATCATGTTTCTTTTAGAGGAATTTTAGTGTGTTGGATGTTGCAGCTGTGATCTTTCTACTGCATGCTGGTCTATTCTAGTCCTTTGACCCATACTAGTGKTTCTCCTAAGGGTCCTTCCACCACGTCAGGTTAATATGAGATTTAAAGGCATCACTCCCAAGTCACGTAATTTATGTAACCTTCTGGTTTAGATTTGAATCAAGAACAAAGGAGTATATCACAGGTTTCYAAGGGATTAATTGTGTGAGTGAGGGCTGATTGGCCTTTAGAGATACTTCAACAGTTTGAGATTCCCTTTCCATCTAAAATTGTCCTTACATTTTATGACAGGCAGATACCTTCAGAGGTTAGGTAGAGAGAATATGGTATGATGGGTAAGAAAAGCAAGAACATTTTTTTTTCTTGTGGCAGCTTTGACTGCATGCTTTACCATGACTTGACCAGGGAGGGTCCTTACAGAGGGCTGTTACAGAGAGACCATCTCTTGTGTGGGGACTTATGAATATGTTCTACTGAAATACTTTAATATCCAGAATGGATTAGGAAAGAGTTAATGCTAACATCAGTAGAATAAGGACATAGTGTTTTCCTTAGTTTCTCTTTAAGTTCTTCTCTTTCTATCCACTGCTCTATTTCCTTCCCATTGGAGTGATTTTTCAATTCCAGCAAAAAAGCACCTGGTCAGTGTCAGCTGGAACATGTGTACACTTTGTGCATCATTTGGGATGGGTACTTGCATTAGCACTAAGAGATGCAGGGCAATTTTCCTTTTCCTCTTGTGTTCAGGGTATTGGCAGTCAGATCCTCTGGCCCAGGATGAATGGCCACAGCTGAATTCCTGAACTTTGGTGCCTTCTGTAGTTATGCAAGGAGCAGCCACCAGACCACCAAGCTAGTAAATTCAGAGTTCTTTCTGAATGTATGCTGACACATGCTTCTTGCAGTGGGTTAGGGACTTGCCTTTTACTAGTCGTACATTATTTGAATAACTGCTCAGCTTATTTTCAAATGGTTTTTCCATTCATCAGAACTGATTCCTGAAGTTCTTTTCTCACAGCTGGCCCAGATCTGCTTTGCAAAAGGAGCTACACTCAGCAGCAAGTGGAATTCTCAAAAATGGGTTTGAACTGGAGGAGTCTTTGTTCTGTATGCTGTGAGAAATTTTCAGGGGCAAATTTAAATGCTTGTTTAAAGTCGGACGGGAACTTGTCTTCCTTCCCATGTGTGGAATATGTTAAGAAAGTGACCAGTGAGGTGATGCACATAAACTGTATGTTTATGTTTATGTGCATCACTTCACTGGTCACTTTTTTCTCTTATTAGGAAAACATTTCCCATGTATCATTAAAGGGCTCTTGTGTTCCTGAGTGTGTTGTAAATGCCAGTATATCTTTTAATTTCATTTATGCTTCCTTCCACACAAGGCTTTTTTAGTGAGGCATTTGATTACCATTGAAGGCAGTCAAAGTTTTCTCTGCTGATGTGTTCCTAAACTCTGTTATTTTATGAAGCTTTTTTCTGATTTCCAGTTTATCCCACTGTAGTTGTCTTTGCCTGATTTCATGTGGTGCTCAGGCCTTGTGATTACATAATGTACATTTTATGAAAATGWTTTGGTGCCAGAGGGGAAGCTCAGAGTACAGGAAATTATTAACATGCTAAAAAAYTTGAGGTCCAAAATAGCTTTAATTGGAAGCTTATTTCAAAGAACTACCACCTGCCTCTCATTTTATCTTTGCATTAGCTCTGAAAATACTTTGTCGCTTAAAAGTGTGATGTAAATATATTCATATTCTGCTAGAACAAAAAACTACAAAACAACAGTAGCTGGACTTGTACTTARAAGTAGCACTTTCTGGCTAAGGGATATTACTCTTGAGATACGAGCTTCTGAAACTGTGTAGAGTACACTAAGTGATTCCATCTGATATGCAGAAAACACTGTGGTTTATATTTTCACTTTATAAATGTGTCACTGGCAAGGCCAACTGGCTGCAATAAGCTTTTTTGAAATGAACATTTCTGGTTGAGTGTTTGGAAGACTGCATTTCTTAAAGTGAARCATAAAAACTTCATTCACTACCTACACATTAAAAACAAATAGTTGAAGGAAATAAGCTGACCTATAAAAAGCTGGGAAATAAGAATTAATACAGAATTTAATTTTCTTTAATTATGCTTTACATGTAATAGTTTGGGTAACTGGCGTTTGATCCACTAGTACAAGCTAGTTAAAATCCAAATTTGAAACAGTGAGTAGGAACAACACAAATTTGATGAACAAAGTGGTGGGTATTTTAAGTGCTGCTGTGCTTTTAAAGGCCAAAAGAGTGATTGCTGATTCAGTCTTGTGTCTCTGTTTCTTTAGACAGTACAGTTCAGTACTGCAGTGTGCTTGCAGATCACTGGAGTGCTCTAAAGATCTTGTCATAGTGTGTCATGTCATGTTCAATTGTATAACTACTGTTAGAGAATTCATAGGATACTGTGGAAGGGGATTTGAAGATTCTCTATACCCAGACTTACAGGGTTGCATTCTTGATAAAGRTGTAAAATAGAAGTGGAACTGAACAGTTAGCTGATGTAAAGTGTCGAGAGCGTTGCCTGTATGCCTGATGCTCAACGTGAACATACGTGATTTTGAGGTAACAGAGGTGGAATAACTGTGATTACACAGACACCTGGATTATGAAACACTGTTTCCTTGCATGCCAAAGAAAAATGCCACTTGTTACTTTTAGTAGCCAATATATTTTAAAATAACTATACCTAAGAGACTGTGGTGGCAACTAGTGAGCTAGCACCTTTTTTTGGATATCAGTGTTTGTACTAGTTTCTCAGGGTGCTTTTACTGGTTAATCATAGTTTTGTACAGCTGGCTCACTCTTTCTAGACTGCATCAGCAGTGTGATAATTATGTCAGGAGCTGCTGGGAAATGGAGGCTGGGTATTGTTAACATTGATAACATACCAGTACAAAACTTCTCAATTTTCCCTGATGGTCCCTACTCTTTGCTGACCAGAAGCATGTGATAGGACTAAATACTGTGACATTTCACAGCTTAGAGGGACAGAAATCTACTATAGGTGCCTTGGAATAGTTCAGAGATAAAAGATAACTTTGAATGTCTGCTTTGAATGATTCTTCTCTTGACGTCATGTAGTCCAATCCTACTTCCCAAGCAGGTTCAGCTAGAAGTTGCTCAGGATTGTGTTCTGTTGTATTTTGTGTATGTCTGTGGGAAAAAAGTTTACAGCCTTTATGGAAGATAGGCTGTAGTGTTTGATGACCTACACATTAAAAAAAAAAAAAAAAAAAAAAAAAAAGTATGTTCAGATAGAATTTCATGTGATACGGTTTGTTACTGTTTGCTTTAGTCCTGTAAATGGGTGCCATAGAGAAGAGTCTGTTGCACTCTTGTCTTTTCCCTAGGGACTGAAAGATTCAACTCAGACAAATGAACAACATGAATTGCACTTTCAAACATCCTTCTTATCCCATGGTTGTTATTTGCAACAGGGCTTATGATACATGTTATGAATTATATGCAGAGTCTGGAAAAGAAGGATGGAAGGCCTTCATTTTTAGAAAATGGGAAAATCTGAAAGAGATGGCGGAGAGAAGGACCCTGCTGCTTTAGCTTCCTTTTTTTTTTTATCCCCTAAGCTAAATTTTTATTGTGTATTTCAATCACAAGGACAAGTAATACGATGTACTTTCTGCCCTTTTACACTGCTATTTATTTTTAAGTAGTTAAAGTTTCTATGAAGAATCATGATGGAGATGTACAATGTTTTGCACTGTACATTTGTTGTTTTTTCAGATATTGAATATTTCTTTGACTTTTGTTACCTTTACGGAATTTTAGGAATGAGGTTTTAGTCTGTTTTTGTTTTGCTTCATCTGCCTATGTTAGAAAACTTACAAAAGGATTGAGKGTGGAACTTAGTGAACAGACAATTTTTATGGGTCATTCATGCATACAGAATCATCCCTGAGACAAAATAGAGTATTTTAATTGAGGTGAATAGACATTTTGATTTACAAATATTTAATGTTTGCGAGATAAGGGTTTTTCTATGAATTCAGGAGAGATGCATCTATGAGCTTCAGAAAGTGTTAGTCTTAATGGTRTGGCTTTCTTTGAATGCATAAAAAATATTGTTTGTACGAATTGTTACCYTTGGATATGAAGTGCCAACTGCATAATCAGCTTTTGATCTCAGAAATCTTCCCAGTGAGACTTTGAATTTAGATTGGTGTACTTGAGGCATGACAAATCATGTCTTAAGTCAAGTCTTGTGGCTGCTGAATAATACATGAGGCTTGAAGTAATTTACTTCAACTTGAATTTTTTTTATTTGATATTTTTTAGACTTGCTGGAGATACAGAGTTGGACCTTGTTTGTTTTTTCTTTCCTTGAAGACAGAAATTGTGAATGTAAAATATGAAAGACATTACCATTGTATTATTTTCACAATACATACTGCTTAAGTAGACTTGAAATTAGAGAATTGGTTATTTTAAACCACAGTTGTTATGACTGTTTGTAAAGTATGGAAACATTTAAGAACTAGAATTATTTGGTGTTTTGGGAATATTGAAACATTTCTTTAAACTGAAATTGTAATAGTTATATCCTTAGAAATTTTGTTTTGAAATAAAATACCTTAATTTTTTTTTAATGTATTCTGAATGTTGTTCCCCCCCCCAATGTAGTTTGTTTATTTTAGAAAGTAAGCTTTTATCGAGGTTGGAATATTTAGTGTCCTTCCTCATAGTAAACAGTCCCATAAATGAAAATTTACTTTTTCTAGGATTATTTATGAGTACAATTTTAATTAACTCATGGTTTTAGGATTAAAATTATGCAAATAACATTGCTTTGTTTCCTTTGTATTTCTTTCTGTTGCTTCCCTTAGGTCGAGATTTGATCTGCATACAGTCCATGGATGGGATGCTCATGTTGTTTGAACAAGAAAGTTACGCTTTTGGCCGGTTTTTACCTGGTTTTCTTCTGCCTGGTCCCTTGGCTTACAGCTCTCGCACAGACTCTTTCATTACAGTGTCTTCTTGTCAACAGGTTGAGAGTTACAAGTACGTGTTTATGTTCAGTAGTTGCAGYGTACTTTGGTGCTGTTGTTTAGTAGGTAAACACATTGAAGGTAATTGTATTTAATTTTTAATGCCTTTACTGGAGTATCCAAAAGCAGGTAGTTGCAGGAAGGATGTTGCATGTTGATGGGTGATTACTGTCTCTGTACAGTCAYAGAAGAAAGCATGCTGTGAGTCCTGAGGATTTTATGGTTCTATTTTATTTTTTATAAATCTGTTGAGTCCACTAGCTTATCAATGCTATGTTGCTCCCAAATGCCAGGTTTTTCCCTGTTTCAGTTCTCTCTAACCTGTGCTTTCAGTGTTGGAACATGGATGAAACTGTTGTGAGCTATTTTGGTTTGTGGCCATATTAAGTTTATGGGTTCAACATTTAGAAATTTTGTTGAACAAGATGGGAAGACAAGACTGTGCAAGACATTTCCACTTCCTCCAAGCACAGGGACTATGGATTGTAAGGCCAAACATTAATCTCTAATAGAGATTGATCATGTTSAGGTGGAACTTCTTGTGTTTTAATATATGACCATTACTCCTTGTCCTTTTGCTACACCACAGTACATGCATGAAATAGGAGGAATATTGTTGTCATCATTTAAAATCTCTAATTTTGACAAAGAACAAAAATATGTACTGKTTTTTTAGATTGAATTGGAACATTCAGAATTGTATTGGTTTATACTTAGGARCTGATGGCACTTGAGGAATTAAACACTTAAAGAATTAAACATTATCTTTTGGATAAGTTTGTGTTGTGTTGATTGGGTTGGTTTCTGTTGTTTATTTCATTGATGTAGAAACTGTAAATATTTTACAGATTATCAATGAGTATACACAGGAAATRGGGTAGATCAGTAAGTCAGGATACCAGCACAAATTCAGGAAAGCAACAGTTAGAGAAGAGTCAATGAGGACACAGTTTGAACATGGGGGATGACATAGGTGTAAAGAGGAGAGATAGATGTGCAGAGCTTTTAGGGCAATTGCTTCTTTTTGTTCAAATGTCTTCATTGTCGTTTTTATTAGTATAGTTTGTTGGCAGTTAAAATAATAAAACCTCCCCAAACCTTCCAACTTCTGCTAAATGTGYCACCTACTAATTTCAGTTTAYTGAGGYCTCTTAGTTTGGAACCACTTAGTTTACTTAATGGAGGTGCTTGCAAGTTTCTCCATTTGATAGAGCAATTGTATTTCTGAGTTGTTTAGGAAGTTTTTTAGAAGCTTAATAAGAGMAAAAAATTTCATTTTTTATTAGAATTCCCATTTCACAATTTGATAAGAATTTGGTTTCTTCTTATATAAATACAGATCTTTGTGATCTGTATTTCTATCTTCTGATATTTAGATTGTTGAATTTATTTTAAGACCACATAAAACGTGATTAGAACTGTTCGTTTTAACTTTTACCTTTACACTTAGCTGCTATCTATRGTGGTATTAATCTTAACATCTTTGATGATAATACATATGTTGCAGTGGGCTTTCTAGCCATACTTTTAGACTGTGACATGTATAGTCATGATAATTATATGCTATTTCWTACTTAATGTAAAGGTAAWAACTACAAAGACATCTTTTATTTTTTTAAAATCTTTTTAAACTGCTTGTTACAGATACCAAGTTCTGGCATTTGCGACAGATGCTGATGAACGACAAGACACAGAACAGCAAAAACTCAGTTCTGGAAAAAGACTTGCGGTAAAACCAGTTTATTTTACATACCCTGTATGAACACTGTGTACACACTGAAAACACTGATACTAAGTAACGAATGGAAACATTGTCTGCTGACAAAGGAGCTGATCCAATTGCTGCTAAAGGCAATGGAAAGACTCCAATAGATTTCCTTTAAGGTTTTTTTGGGCCTCAGTTGTTTAAGGTTGGACCTTAAAACTTGCTGTTATCCTAATGAGAAGTGAAAAAGAGAAAACTGTGTAGTGGAAATAACTATTTCCAAGGCAATCTTTATAATACAGAACCTACAGTGTAATAAAATAGATAAATAGGTACACCTGAATTACTGCTCATTTTTAAAAATGAAGTCTAATTGTGACTTTGTAATGTGGAAAATTAATCTCATTCTCCTTGGGGAATCTTTTGTAGTTAGAGAAAAATTCACAATGAAATGTTTCCGTAAACAGTTAGTGTCCTGAATTCTTTTTGTCAAAAACCTGTGGATTCAATAGTGTTCTGGAGGTCCCTGTGACTAATTTGTTTAATATTTGATTAATATTTGTTTAATATTCATCCTGCTAAGAGGAAGAGAATTTAATTCTTTGTGGTTCTGCAACAGAGTTACTTGTCTGCTAAATATGCTTATATAAATAGCATATATAAAATGCTATTTTCGGCATATTTCAGGTATGACAGTAAAATAAGGGGAGAGCATCTTCCTTCCACTGGCTCATTGTAGAATTTTTCTATAAGTAGGCTGAATCCTACATCTTGARGTAGAAGACAGTCTATAAATAAAAAAATCTGTAAGCTTCATTAGATATGCTGCAAATGAAACAATTTTTTTAAAATCTAGAACATGAAGCATACATGGAGACAAACTGTAATAAGCTGGATTTTTCCCTTTGACTTTTAAGATGGCACTTCCAGTTTCATATATCAGATATTCCAGGATATTTGCTGACACATTCTTTGCTCTTTAAGRAAAATGATTGATGCTGTTCATATAGGAAGGGCTGACAATGGAACTCTGRTATATTTTTGCTTTAGAAATTCTARATTTCTGTTTAAYGAGCTTGGCAGAAATCAAAAGYATTTTTGCATRTGTGTTTAGTTGAAATTTCTCAGAAAAGCTGAAGAAACAAACCAATGAAATATATCAATAAGCAGTAGTATTGTTTAAAGGCAGATGAAGTAGGATTTGTAAGTAGTTGTTTATTTTATCTATTATTTATTTATCTATTTTATGTAGTTGGAAAAGTAAACTTACTATGACATATATGAGCATTCTCCAGACTGAAAGGTGTACATTAGTGACTGCAAGCATAAATATTGGCATACACACCTAAAATATTTGTCTAGTTTTCCATTTACATATGTTGGTAGAATWAGTTGTCACCTTTTGCTCTCTAACCTTGCCCTTAATGACCAAGGACATGTAGAGAGGCTGAKAAAAATGATTCTAATATTCTGTTCTTGGATTCATTAGTGGAAGTGTAAAGCATTTCCATTTTGAAATGGGATATGTATTTTAAAATTTAAATATATTTAACTGAACTTCATACMCATCAATTCATGACTGTTTTAAAAAGATGTTTTTGCTGCTTGAGTCACATTAAGGAAAGTTATCAACTGCACTCAGAATAAAACGATAATTCTTGTCCAAAAAAGACCTTGATTTTGCATTTCTATCTATGTTAATGATATGTAATTTGATTAGTTCTGAGCCTTCTCAAAGTTTTGTCTTTAATATGCAGCTGTCAATTATTTCTGGAGCATGTTTTTTCTTTTGAAGGTGGATTGGGTTTTAAACATYGGAGAGCAAGCACTGGATATATGCATCGTCTCATTTAATCAGGGAGTTTCTTCTGTTTTTGTGCTTGGTGAGAGAAACTTCTTTTGCCTTAAGGATAATGGGCAAATACGATTCATGAAGAAGCTTGATTACAGTCCAAGTTGCTTCATTCCTTACTGTTCAGGTAACTGTTTTGTAAAAGGAAGATTCAACTGTTTTGTAAAAGGAAGATTCAACTTAACTTTAGCTTGGTTACTTTTAGAGCTAAGAGTTGTTTGTGGATTGGTTTTTTTTTTAACCACTGAACAAATATATTTTTCTGAATAATCGGGTCGGATGGGGCATTGAACAACATAGTCTAGTGGAAGGTGTCCCTGCCCATGTAATTTAGGTTAGATATTAGGTAGAAATTCTTTACTGTGGGGGTAGTGAGACACTGGAAGAGGTTGCCCCAGCTCTGGCAGCGTTGAAAGCCGGGTTGGATAAGGCCTTGAGCATCCCTGCCCGTGGTAGGTGGGGGTTGGGACTAGATGATCTTTAAAGTCTGTTCTAACCCAAGCCATTCTATGAGTCKGTGATTCTATGATTTGTAGAAAGTGTGTGAAATTGGAGCTCTCTTGTTGAACGAGGCTGGTTTATTTTCAAATGTTGCTTAGTGTGAAGTGTCACAATTTTTAGAATCTAAATATTTTCTTATCGCCAATTTGAGGTACTTGTCTAGTGCCTAGTCTATCAAAGCAGCAAACACAGAAGAATGAGAATCTCTGGAAGAACAAACTAGTGTTTGAGGACATTCAGTTTTAATTTTATGACCTTCTGATATTTACAGATTGTTAAAAAAATCAAATTAAAATTTGTTGTAATTGTGGTGGGGGGAAACAACTTGGTTAGATACTTGGTTAAAATTACAGACTCTTAATACCTATTCTCTTTTGAAAACTGTCTGATAAATTTTTGACACTATGTCTCCTTTTGAATTTAAAGTATCATTTTAGTCTTTATAAATTTGATCTTGGCAATCTTCACATTTTATACTTTCTGATATGAATGATGCTATAAATAAACCCTATAAATGCGAACACATTTAATTGGTATTYGCAAGTTTATGTATTAATGAATAGTGTAAGCAGCAGATATTTAATCAATGTGTATTTTGTCATATCTATCATGTCTATCTATTATGAGTCTTTGTTTGCCATGTTTTAAATTACTAAACGTGGCTGGCCAGAACCTTAGAAAGCTGTGGCATGTATTGTGTAATATGCAATTGAAATTGGTATCCTTAATCACATATGTCCTTGGTTATTGTCWATGTAACTTTCATAACTTTTGATGCTTTATATTAAAGTAATTTATAACAAGTAATGGCTTAAAAGAAAACATAATTRTATAAGTCTTGAAGAAAAGTACTGGCTTTTGAAAAATCTTTCATCCTAAAATTGTTTTTTTTATCTTTGAACAGTGCAAGAAGGAACAATAAACACTTTAATGGCWAACCACAATAAAATGTTGAATGTTTATCAAGATGTTACATTGAAATGGGCCACTCARCTTCCCCACATTCCTATATCAGTAAAAGTAGCAAATTTTCAGTAAGTAAATTGTTAAAGTTTCCTTTTTTCTTAGATTAATCTGAAATTGTGTAATTTGCTTCTAGATCCTAACAAATAGTTCTGAGGTATRTTACAAATTAGGTGACTTTTAAAAGGAAAATTCAAAGTGTTTTCCCTTTGTTTTKTAAAATGTTCATTTCATTAATGAGTGTACTGTTAATTCTAGAACAATACAAGAATTGCTGTATTATGCTGTAGGTTTTCTGTTTTTTCTGAGTGAATTTTCAACTAGGAGTCTCATAGGTCCGGTGCAGTAGCTTCTTTTTCAAAAGAATGGGAAGTGTGTTTATGCAATCTGGCAAAGTCCTTCCCTGAGACAGGAAAATAGGGAATCTCACTGAAAATCTGTTCTTCATTAAGCATTTAAGAGCATATGCATTCCAGAGATGATTTGTTGGAACAGATTATTAAATCCAATGTTAAACTATGGAAATTAAGGAGCTACTTAAATTGCTGAGACCTGCACTGCAGCARTACAAAACTTTTTGTAAAAAGAGCATAAGACAGATCAGGGAAAAACTGATTGGGTGGGGACTGGGCAAAGAGAAGGTAGGACATGTTTATAGCTTGGGCCATGACTGTTTCTGAAAGAAGCACACCAGAGATAAGTTCAGCCAGTCCAGTTTTATGGCTGTACTGTGTTTCCCCAGAGCTGGGCTGAGTGCTGGTTGTGCAGTGCCTATGACCACAGTGGATGCAGTAGGGGTGTCCCTGTCAGGTAGATCTTCTGATCCTCATCAGGCAGRTGGCTGCTGGGCCAAGAGACTGGATTGCTAAATGTTTGATCATAAGTCAAACATTTTATATCCAAACAGATGGAAATGCAACATCTGACTAACTAGCTTTACTGATTTGTGCAGAGTAATCTGAGGGATGTTTGTGTTTTGCTTGTCACTAATAGTTACCTAATGATTTTTAAAAAAGATTATTTATAATTTTTTTTTTAGACTCTCTGGAGAGAGTTGGGCTGGCTTTCATCCAACAGGTCTTGACTAGTGAGATATAATGAGCAGTCTCAGTGGGCCATTTAGTATAACTGAGAAGTTAATTATTCAGGATATGACAGCATGGCTTTTGAAGTATGGAAAGAAATATTATGTTAACAAAAAATGGAAAAAAACCATTGGTTTCTACAACAACAGATTGTACTAACATTTGTGTATACAATTACTTGTTTGGAAACTCATTATGTTGAACCATCTGTTTCAATAATGCATCTAAGAAGTTTATGCAGATTCTGTGTGCTCCCTTGTGAACTTTAACACTCAGCAGTTTGATATTAGGGAAAAATTTGAGATCCTAAAATCTGTCTCAGCTCAATTTGCTAGTTAGATTCAGAATTCCCGCAGACCTTCTAATGCCAGAGTTTGACTTATTTTTTAGCAGGTAGAGAGACTGCAATCTAGCTATGCAAACCTCTTTATACAGGTACTGATATATGAAGGAGGAATATCTGTGTGCCTACACCCAAGGGCCTAAAAGGCAGAGAGGTTCAGGTCTACGTGTTTCTGAGCTATCCTTCTCTCTGTCTATTGAAAAATATGCGGTGTGCTTGTACTTCCTTCTGGTATTAAAAAAACAGTGAGCTAAATGGCAAAAACTGTAGTAAARCTTATAGAGATAGTAATTTGGCTTAAACAGGGCATATGTGTTTTGGGGTTTTTAATTTTTTTTTTAAATAATTCAAAAGGAAATTCTTTGTGAGTCAATGTAATAATGGTTTTCTTGTACTCAAGAGRGACCTCAGTCTTAGGGCCTTTGAGCACTACTGTAACATAAATAATATTAAGTACTTTAATAAACATAAAGTYGTTAATCCCACACTGCTGAAAGATTGAAGAGCCTTAAATATGACATATGCCAATTAATTACTTTCTTCACTTTTATTGCAATAATACTTACAAAGTAAATGGAGCATTCTGAAAGTAGTTATCTCCACAGTTCATACATGTTCATCTGTATTTTCTCCTGGCATAATGTCTATTACTTCTAATGCTTGCTGGATAAGGAAAGCACTATTAGAAGCTATTTTACGTAAATCCCTTGGGGCAGGGGTAATGATTGCCTCAAAAAAGAAGGTTCTGATTCTAGTGTATGCCCCTCATTATTATTTATGAATTGATTTTTCTTCTTAAAATAACATGTAACACAGTATTTCTCTATTGCTATACCAGTATGTAAATAAAGGTAATAATATGCTACAACATTTGGGATTAAATTCCAGTACAAACTGCTTGATTTCCATCACATTTTCAGAAACATGAAAGGAAAAACAGAATCAAAGACAAGTGGTTACTTAGAACATTTTTACATATCTCTGCACACTATTCTTAAGCTGTTGAACTGTACTTTTTTGCCTTCTGTTAAAATCTGAATGCTCTCTGTCAGGAAGAGAAAATTTGGTATAAAAGCTTTTGCTCAGAAGCTTGAACTACAGGCAAAAATTTGAGTATTTATCTTTTTCTGGATTTTACTGGAATATCTCTTAACTAGTCATTGAACTGGAAGTTCAGTCCTAGTAATTGTTACGGAACTTTGTCCCTTATTATGTTGGAAGCTTATATGCTGGTTCTGTATACTGTTTCTGACATATTTTTAGTGTCAAGAGGACTCCTACATGCTTAACAGTGCCTGGATTGCTTCAGAAGTGTAACCACTTATGCTGACAGTTTCAATTAATTTAAATTGCTTAGTCTGTGTCTCAGCACAAATTTGTCTTCCCATGGATAGGCCTGCTTGAACAGTTGTATTTTTACTTGCCGTATGTTGGTATCCTTCAAGTTTTGGCTATGCAAACACATCCTCACTGAAGCTGAAACTCTTGAAGAAAATAGTTTAGGTGTTCTGCCTGAGTTGATTAAAAAACTCCAAACATCTCCACACCAAGTCCACAAACACCTCCTCCCAAATCTGGTTTAAAGAGAAACTGTCCATATACTGCAGTTGAAACAGTTGAAATCTAGGAAGTTACACGAAGGAGTGACAAGAATTCCTACTCTGCTCAAAATTTCAGTGTTGAAATGGTAGTTGTAAGCAGCACTATTTGCTTGGTATCCATCATAATTGTGTAAATATCTTCATAGCATTGACTTTATAGCATTCCCTTTTTTCTTGCTCTTTGGTTTCCCTTTAGAATTTTTCTGTTTACCTTCTTTGTACCTCCACATCTTATGAAAGGAAGTTCCATGAGCAGTATCTCTTAGACTTCTGGATTACAAATTCTATGAATTTGTTACTGGTTGATACTTCTTGAGATGTGTTAAGATTTCTCTCTCTCTCTCTCTCTCTTTCGTCACTTTTTATGAGCCTATCACAAGTCATATTTGTTTTTCTGTATCAGAATTATTCTCTCTCCATATGCTTGACCATAAAAGGTCCTTGGAGTAGATTACAGTACTTACACAWCTACTTTTCTGTTTATTTGATACTTGGCAGAGCTGTTCCTAAGAGTATGTCTTTTAATGGCTGATTGATTGYACCAAGGATTACTCTGTCCTGGTTGGCCTGAAACTAGAACATTATGTTAAGGTGCATTCAGTCTGAAGCAAAACAGCTTGTGTTGCCAGCCCCTGGGATGTTTCTGTCACAAACATCTGAAATACCATTGTGGGTTGAGTTAAAACACATAGAGTATTATAGTTTGGATGTGGTCTTGGGAAAGGGGTTTCTGTTTTGATTACTACAAAGTTATGAACCTGTTTTTTGCCATATGAAGCCTTTAAATTGTGGAGGTTTTCTTTTCCTATGAACGTTTTTGAAGTTCTAATTTCTGCTTTATTATGTGGTTTTCTTTGTATACAGTCTTCAAGTTATATCTGTGAATGCTTGTCTTTTTTTTTAACTGAAAGAGACTTCAAACTTCCTCAGATACCTCTTTTTTTCAAGTCAGTTTTTCATGATATCTCTAATTTTGGTTCTTTGTGCTTTTGACTGTCCACCAAGAGAGYAAGTCTGGTGGTATCTATGCAGCAAAAAAAAATGTTGATTTCATGTGGAATTTATCAGCAGGCACAGTTCTAACAGGAAGCCAATCTCAGAATTTAGGGGATGTGTTGTGGGAAAGATATTTCTTCCCTCTCTGTTCTAATGGGGACTCTTACTACTTTAGGCATTAGTTTATCAGAAAATTTTGAATGAAGGATATTTTCCCCTTCAGCCACATTGGAATTTGGTTAGTAATACCCAAAAGAAAAAACTTAGAGCCACCTGTAGTACTTGTCTATAGGTAATTGGATGCTTTGCATGTGTAGTGCCTCTTGTTTTTTAGGAGCTACATCTGGGAATTAGAATACAGTAACCCATTTTCTTTTGGAAGCATTTGTATGTACCTCTATATCTGTGAGCAGAAGGAGTGTTCTTCATGGAAGAAAGGTTCTTGAAGTGAATAACCCACAGAATGACCCATATGCCTTGTAAAATGTGAAGTTGCTTTTATTACAAGGGGTTGACAGGTATGGACAAGTTGGTGAAAGTAGCTAGAATATTTGCTTTCACTTTCATTTATTTGACAGATAAATATMATTTTACTTGGTAATGGAACAACGTGTTTTCTGAAGAGGAAACATAAAGAAGTCTGGAAAGACTTTTTGTGCTGGAAGTGATAAATTACTTCTAAAAAATTAGAATTTCCGAGTTCCTTAAAATATTAAATTTCTAGGACTCAATYTTTTAGCTTGAGTTAAGCTATTAGATAGATTTTCATTATTTGAGATGGGGAAAAAATGATTTTCTTTTTTAAACAAAAGTAACTGTTGAAAAGCCAGGAAATAAAGTAGACTTTATATGTTCAAGAATGTAAGCAGGGTTACTTAGCAAGCTTTATCCACACTTCAACTCTTTATGAACTTCAAGTCTGCCTAGGTTTATTCTGAAAAATGATCCCATAAATATATCACAGGGTCCCATGTCTTCACCACTGATTCTGTTTTGCTCAGTTTGCAATCAAAAAGTGATTTCTTTCTGCAAATTGCTAGCACCAC